CGCCACATCCATATTGGGTAATGCCTCGAAGCACATCATTTCTGAGCGGTTGTTTCATGCCCAGGATTCGTGTGGCTTGCAACGCCCCTGGACTTCCCCAGATTCTCCAAGTTAGCGGTCGCATGGTGGCTCCTACCCGATTCTCGATACTTACCTCTCTCTATCCCGAGTTCAAAGAGGTCAAGTGATATTAGTGTCTGTGATGCTCCCGCAAGAAGTGGACGTCACTCGAGAGTCGGAAAATCTCGCTGGGCAGAGGACCCTGTTAAGTTATCTGGCAATACTCGTGATGTGCCATGTATTTGTCGTATACACGCTCGGCGTTTCCTGTTGCTTTTCAGCTCAAATTCACAACGCCGACCTTGCCGGTCCCGAGTACTAGGACTCCGGCCGGCAGAAAGACCCCCCAAAACACCAACTTATCATGGCCAATGGATGCCATGTAATGAGCCGCACGCTAATTTGTTGAACACCCTCTTCTTGCTAGCACCTAGTCAGTTCTCATTGGCAACCTGTTGTTTGCCTTCCTGCTTGGGTCACCTGGCGTTGATGTCGTCGACGCGGATCTTGAATCTCATGATGCAGGGTTACAATGGACCAGGGTGCGTATGTCACTGGTTAGAAGACACTACAGAGCGCTCCGGAAGTTTCATACTATCGGCTCCACCTGGATTGCTCGATGCTAGCTTGCCGTGAGCATGTCGCGGTGTCTCACTCGCCTTCCACCTCCTCCCGTTTTCACACTCGTTCAAACGGTGTTACCAGGGCCATACTCCGATTCCAACTTAGCAAACGTATCCAGACGTATCACGTACCCCGTCACTCCCCGAGATTCGTTTGTACAACCACCGTTTAACGTCTATCTATTCGCCTCTAACCACCGTGACCCCACAGGCTCTGGACACAGCCTCTACTAACACTGCCTTATCGGTAGATATGTGAGACACTCCTCTATGAGCTGTGGAGTTGGTTAAGGAACAGTGCTAGTCGCCACCTGGTTTGGGCCAAGCTTCGTCTTACTTATTGAAAAGATATGACTTCTCTTCAGCAATGTCCCCTCATTTTCTTTTGGTGTTTTGGCTAAGCAACCCCATCTCGCTTTACCTGACTCTGCTGCATGGGTTGAGTATTCGTCCGCAGGCATCACTGCCACCGAGATACTCGCTCCTAGCGTGTTCCAGCTCCTTCGGTAGAGAGCCAAGGTCGCCCAATATCGTCCATCGCCCGGGATCTGCCCACCGCTGACTGCCTGCCGTCGTAACTGCACCACTAACCCTCCGATTTGATAGATGCAGGTCTCGCTATTGGTCGAAGAGTGTCCCAATCTGGTCTCCCGGGACTAACCACTTCAGACGATATCGCAGAAGCTGCTGGACAGAGTGCACTAGCCGGCTACGACAGAGACAGCACCATCAGCAGCGGGACAGGCCATGGTGGGCAGAGTACCTTAGTAATGATCAATCACACTTGTGACTGAACTGGAAGAAGGTGTGACATGGCATGTGACTCGTAACTAATACTTCGAGGCCAGTTGTGAGGAAATCATGGTCAGCTTCCGGCATTGAGGTCATCTTGGAATTGTTACTTGTTAGACGGCATGCATGTCTCAACTCTCGACACGCCTACTTTCGGACAGGACCTACGACTTGCTTTCTATTTCCAAGCTGGACACTCCACCCGAATGCTTGGGATCCGGATATGCCGCTGTCTCCAACCACACGTCGCCGTCCACAATCTACTTGGAGTGAGATACACGATACAAGAAGTCGACTTTGTTTCACTTGCACACTCATCTTCAGGAAAGACCTGGTAGTGGCGACTTTCCGGACATCCTTCTTGGATGTCTAGTGAGTCATCTGGTCTTGCTCATCCCCCATCTCACGAAGCTAACCATAATCCGTCGTCATCGTTCCTCTAGTCCGAGCCTCGTATGGCCTCGTGTTACTCTTTGTCTTGGTCACACATCTCTCCCACTCTGGCAGCACCCTGTGATCAAGACCCGGACTCTTCGCAGCGACGATCTGACATTTTCTGCCTTGTATCTCTTCACGTGGTTGTTTTATGACAAGTGTATTCAAAATTGGCAAGCTGCAGCTGCCACTCATCTGTAACAACTACCAAGCGAGCCAGGAGACTTCATCGGTTGTGCTTGCCTGTGTCCGCTGCTGTTTGCTCACTTCAAGCAAGTTCTTTTGGGGGATTTGTTCTCATCACCATAGGAACGAGTGGAAATCTCACAATGCAGACACGCATGAGCCTGCATCTTGCACCACCATGAACAACTTCGTTCTGTCATCCTCACTCCAACTTGACCAAATAGATCCAGTGGCATGCTCCAGTCCTGTCGCGTCACCTGAACCGAACGGCTGCTTGAGTTTACTATTTGAAAATTTCATGCATCCCACCATGTTGTGTGATCCTGCAGGTATCCAATATGGCATGTGCCATCTGCTAAGCTGCAGTGTCCGGTTCTACAAACCGTATCCCTTCAGATAGGAGACTGGTCAGTGACCCCGTAAACATCAGGCAACGGTGAAAATCCGCTAGTTTCACTTCCAGGTTAAGATATCTGTGTCACTCGATGTCTTCACCGGTCGAAAATCATATACTGTCGGGCAAGATAGTCAACTGCGCTGCGAGGGCTCGGATGCATTACCTAGTAATGTTTGAGCAATACACCCCGCATTTCCTCTTGAAGCCTGCTGCAGGTAGTAACAACATCTACACTAGGCGCATCGTCCAGTGTCCCCGGATCATGCGTGTAGATCTCACACATGCTCTGGCCACTGGAGACGACCCGTGTTTCAGCACAGCACCTCGATTTTCTTTGAGCACCGACTGCACCGAAAGTGGATTCAGACCCCTTATGCTGTTCAGAAGTTGCAAATCATCTGGATTGAGCATTCCGCTGGTCCTTTGCGCTGTAGGTGGTCGTCCTTGACATTGGCCTTGTCGTCCTCAGTTACGTAAATCCAATCGAGAACCCGATAGTAGACTTAGCTGACAATATGCATCTGCGCCAGAACGATACGAAGTTCGGATCTTTAGGTCTACAGAGCTTTAACGCAGTACGAACGCTTTAGTCTTAGTACAAGCCCAAGGCATGAATTGAGGATTGACCCGGTAGATCTGGAGTATCCGACAGTTACCTCAACCACGTTTGAGCTGCCCAAGTGTCGGATCTACGCGATGCTCATCGGCACGAGCCTTCAAAGCATGGTCTTTAATACTCCCAGCTGCCCAGCTACCGAGCTCAAGGGGGCACATCTTGTTTGTCTCAATAGGGGCCAACATCTCGGAAATCCTGGCATCTCGCTACTCAGCTTCTCAGTAATCGGAATGAGTATAGACACAAGACAATGTCGACGAAGGCGCGGAGAACGCTGTCGCTCATCAAAGCTGGACGCCAGCTGAACGTCGTCTACTGGCCGCTGGTTGCAGTCTCGGCGCTGTTTCTTTCACTGCGAATTTTCCTCAAACTCCGCCAGCGCAGACCACTATGGTGGGACGACTATGTGCTGATGATATCATGGGTACGTCTGACGGCTGTCTTTTCAGCTTGATCTGTGCTGACAACAGAATCTCGGACTGCAGCTCGCCCTCCTCTCCTCAGCAGTCGTCTTCGCCACAGCCGTCAACCTAGGCTACGGCCTCGACCCCTCGGAAATCTCGCCCGAAAACGCCAACGAGATGATCCTCCTCATTAGCGTCATGTCAAGCCTCCTCATCCTCGCCAACCTCTGGTCCAAGACCTCCTTCGGCATCACCCTGCTGCGCCTGCCCCTTGGCCGCGTCCGCGTCTGGCTCGTCTGCACCCTCATCGGCCTCGGCACCGTAGCGATAGGCGCGAGCGCCTACCTGGTTTGGATCCAGTGCCTCGTCGCCGACCCGCCGTGGAGTCCGTACACGGGCTCCAACTGTATGTCCTCGAACATCATGATCAAATACTCCGTCTTCACGGGGTGCTTCTCGGCACTCATCGACTTCGCCTTCGTCGTCCTCCCCTGGAAGATGTTATGGGGGCTGCAGATGAAGCGGAGCGAGAAGATCGGCGTCACCCTGGCCATGGGCATGGGCACACTGGCTGCGATAGCGGCCATCGCGAAGACGACCGTCTTCCCGAGGGTGTACTCGGCCGATCTAACGGCGGGCTTGCAGGTGAGCGCTTGGGGCGCCCTGGAGACGGCTGTGAGCATCATGGCTGCTTCGATTCCTATCCTCAGGGCGCTGGTTAAGCAGGGCCAGGCGGGCGTGCCGATGGGGTATCAGACGCAGGGCGGCACGGCTGCTACTGGTGCTACGATGCGGAGTGTCTTCTTCCAGCGGACGGTCTTTGCTCCTTCGCTGGCTAGTTCGTCTGTGCGGGTGGAGCAGTCGCCTGACGAAGCGTTGGCGGGCAAGACGGCGCCCGCAGGAGACGATGAGGAAACGGGCAGGACGAGTGTCGAGCTGGACAGCTATGGATCCGAAGCGCGACCTCGCGATTTCACTGTATGAGTGGCGGGATATGTCATGATTGTATATTGGGCAAGGGTTCTTGACAGCTGGCTGAGCTGGGATCCGGCACGGGCACATATGGTTGGATTGGTTTGTCTAATGGGTAACTGGTCTGGCGTTCTGTATCATTGTCCGGGATTGCATGGTTCGGAAAGCTTGGCTTCATCGTACGTGGTAGTTAATGTGTATCCTTTGCGTGGAAAATAGCTACGTCAACTGATTTATATTCCACTGCCTCAGTTCATCACTGTTAATTGCATGCTATTACCTGCGGTAACTTGAACCTGGCTCTGTCACATCGATGAACTGACCGGCCCCTGAATGTTTTGCCCCGTCTGCCGGATTCCACATTGTCTCTAACGTAATTCAAGCTTCAAATCGAATCCTGCGAACTCCACCGCCTAGACCAAGTCTAATTAAACAACCCTTCACACTAGCACGACTCGCGCGAAAAAGGGCGCACGATCTCAAGAAAACCTTTAAGCACCAGCCAATACATCGTCGGGGATGTAGCTCATCTGGTAGAGCGCGTGCTTAGCATCCCGCTGACGATCCGATCTGATCGTGATCGTCGACACATGTTCCTGCACGAGGTACTGGGTTCGACTCCCAGCTTCTCCACGCTTTCATTTTTGCCCTTGCGTCTCTTTATTGGCTCCACATAACCCTTAGGTGACCACGAAGGTGTACCCCTATATTCTCATTCAACTTGCTTGTTGTGACCATTCAACCCTAACCAACGATATCAATGAGGTTACTACTCGTGAATGGCTCTAACTTTTCATCCTTCTTTTTGTTTAGTCTAATTACATGGCATTGCATTGACCCTGACGGTACGAGACACTTGTACCGCGAGCTTGCTTCTTCCTTTTGTCATTATTAGTGACATGTCGAGCAGGACTATCCTTGCATTCCTTCAAGTTCTTCACTTTAAATACAGCAACTGTCGCCCCAGATAGCACAATCCGAGAACTTTGGTCACCCAGAAAAGCAGTCCTACAGGTTGATATGGCCGCTTCGGGAGTATGTGATTACTTCTCAATCCTACTACCTTCTGCAGCTCATGAAGATGGTACATTGCGCCAATGCTAGGATGAGTCACTCGCAAGACCGTGCATGAAATTCCCGATATGCTTCGCTTTCACAGGGACCGGTATACCAAGACCCTACTGTGGTAGGCAGTGACGTGTCTCTCGAGTTTCGATTGGACCGAATAGTGACGCAACATGGCTTGATAGCTTACAAATACATACATGTAGGTACGTGTAGTCTATGCTGGGCCACCGCCATGCGTACGGAAGGATCATTGCTGTCTGGGCCACCCGCGAACGGGAACCTATCAGCTTCATTCAGTATCAGCTTCATTCAGTGATTGATAGCAGCTAATAGGGGTGCAGTCAAAGTCGCCCGTACGGCGGAGTTATCAGTTAACCATAACCCCGCTCCGCCGTGAAGGAGTTAAGCACGGCAGACACGACCCAAGTATATAGTCTCTATAGTGGACCGTCTCTCATGGTCTAGCATTTTCCAGTCTAAATCAACAAAGATTTCTACAGCCACTCACCTCACTCCATTTAGCTAAAATGTCCATGCCAGCAGACTGCTGCCTCAAGGGCTTCGCCTGGGAAGGCACCCCGACCGGTACCGAGACCAGGATAAATACCAACGACACCTACGTGGCCGGCTCAAACCCCAAGGTCGCCCTCGTCGTGATCCACGACCTTTTCGGCTGGAAATGGGGCAACCTCCGCCTCCTAGCCGACCACTACGCCGTCGAGGCCGACGCGACCGTCTACCTGCCCGACTTCTTCGGCGGCGCGTCCCTGGATACAGACCTGATCTTCGCGGGCCGCTTTGCAGAGCTCGACTTGCCGAACTTCATGGGCAGGAACACGAAGGAGGTCCGGGAGCCCGAGATGGTGGCTTTCATCAAGACGCTGAGGGCGCGGGGCTTCGAGAAGGTGGGCGCTATCGGCTACTGCTATGGCGGCTGGGCGGTGTTCCGTCTGGCGGGCGCGGAGGCTGGTGGGAAGAGGCTGGTGGACTGTGTGACGGCCGGACACCCCAGTTTGCTCACGAAGGAGGAGATTGAAGGTGTCAGGTCCGATGTGGCTGTGCAGATGCTTGCGCCTGAGCACGACATTCAGTACACGGCGGAGTTAAAGACGCATACTTTTGTCACGTTGCAGAAGTTGGGGGTGCCGTTCGACTATCAGCACTTTCCTGGGGTTGAGCATGCGTGTTTCACGAGGGGTGACGAGAAGGTGCCTGGAGATAGGGCGGCTCTGGTTAGGGGCAAGAATGCGGCTGTTGCGTGGGCGAAACAGTGGTTGCACGAGGTGTAGGACACAGAAAACCTTTCCATGGTCTCAGGGGAGAGCTGGAGGTTTACGGTCACTTCCGAGTTCAGAGGTTTGTACGGACGTATATACGGTATAATTCCATCACCATTCACGACTACGTCTCCAAAAAGCTATTTACAAGAAGTCTAAAATGTGAGCGTATGGACAAAATCTCCAAATAATTGTATCCAAGAAATGATTGTTTGATAATACAAGAGTGAAAAATGAGTGACGATAAGTGCGTGTCACAACATCAGGGACATCAAGGGCTCCGGCATCACAGTTCGTAGATTGCTTAGTTCGGCTGCTTGGGATCACGATCGCAGGCAGTGCCGATGCAGCAGGTGATGCGGCCGCTCTGACAGACACCGAAGCTGTTCGCGTTGTGGTCGTTGACGTAGGTGTAGGCGCCCCCCTGGCAAGGCTTGAAGAATGGAGTGGCCGCTGTTGCCGTCTGGTCAGAGCGCAGAGGGTTCTTGCAGCTGCCTTTGCCGTTGTCGTTCTGGGAGGTGAGTTAACAAGTGTGGCCAGGAGATCATGGCTGGTGCTGTCCTTACCGCGCAAGAGTTAAGGCCCCAGAGATTCTTGTTACAGCCAGTGACTACGCCAGCTCCGACACAGGAGCAGACGATGGGGACAGAGAAACCGTTGCTGTGATTGCATTTGGTCAGTGTCGGCCATCTTTGCCGAGAGACCAGTTGGCGTATACTCACACATAGCTGACATCAACGTCCGCAACAGCAACGGAATATCCATCCGGCTTCTTGAAGTTGGCCTCGATGAGACTCTCATCTCCTACTATGTTTCGCGGGCCGCCATACTCCACCACAGCAATGTTGCCCGCCCAGCCGGTAGGGAGAGCGTAGCTAGCCGTGGCACCTTTCGCCATGGTGCCGGCGCCGGCAGCGCCCCAAACAGCCGTAGGGCCACCGGCCTCATGAGCATGGTAGGTGCTCACCGGTGCGATATGCTTATTGATCACCGTAATGGTCATTAGAGCCGGAGGATTGGCAATGGCGGCAGCCTCGATATGGAACGGAGCTGCGGTTACGGCTGCAGCGGCGCCGACACCTGGAGTTGGAGTGTAGACCGCCTCGACGCCAGTATTGAAGATATCTTGGGCAGCTTGGACAGCCGGGGTAGGCAGCGGGTTGGCCAGAGCGGGGGAAGACAGTAGGAGGCTGAGGAGGGCAGCGCCAACGCTACTGCGGAGAGAAGGCATTGTGGCGAACCGCGGAAGAAAGAGTGTAGATAAAATGCAAGAGAAAACGTAAACAAATGCCGATAAAGACTGTAAGATGCCGCTGGAGATGTGCGGCGAAGGCTGTTGTTGATTGCTGAGACGGGAAGCTGTTCTCCTGGCGAGACTCTCACGCCTTTATACTTCCCATCGATGCTCAAGATTCTATCATCGTAGGACGCCAAGGGGGTTGAACTTGAACACATGTTACCAACTCATCAGTGTGCTCGCTACATATCCAGGGGATTACTCCTTCTCTGCTATATTGGCTCTCTACCTGTCCAGTATTGATCCTTTGCGAATCCCGCCCCCATCGATGTAGCAGTGCAGGCTGAAGGTGTTGATGGCTTCAAGGGGCAAGCCGGACACGCCGGTGAAATCGCATGGGCATTTGGCCTGTTGATGGACAGCTTGCTGCATGTACCCGCAGGGATCTAAGATGAGCCTCGGTGAGGATACATCGTCAGGCCCATTATGTCTGGACCTCACACAACCCACGGGAGTACCCGTGCAGCATAGACGACATTGTATTGGTTGCGTGGCTGAACATTCAATACCGTGTAGCAACAGTTTCCTGAGATACAGGTGAAGAGATGAAGCCAACGATCAAGCTAAGCAAACCGGGAAGGATAAACCCACATATATGATAGCGATATGCCAGTTGAATGTCACCGCGATTCAAGAAGCTTCGAAGCAATACCGCCGAGATAATCATTAGTGCATTCTCGTCGCAAGACTGGGGATTTAAGAAGCTTGGTCAACGCTCGGAAGGAACTTCAACCAAGTAGCTGGTCGCGATGCATCTTCATGATGTCCTGGCTCTGGCCGACGCTCTGCCCTCCTTGTCTGGGCCAAGGTGGCGGTATCGCTCTGGGTGTTGCGCTTAAGAGCTGAAAAGACATGGTAGGCGCTCCTTCAACTCAATCCGGGAAAGCTTAATTTCACATCTGAACCGCCGTAGCAGCGAAGGAGTGTGACTGCTACCTTCCTCCTTTTGAGATGCAGGTCCCAGGTCTAGAACCATCCACAATGGACGTGCTGGACACGGAGTAGCAACAATTGTGCGGGAAGATAGGACTGGGGGGAGCACCGGGCTGGCCGTTGCTGAATGAGGCATGCCACTGGCAACATAACTGCAACATTTCGTACGACAACTCCATATTGGGTCTAAGGGCATACTAGCGCTGCTCCTGCTGCTGTCAGGTACACTGTCGACGCACTTGAACATGAGACCATGGACATAGAACATATGATGGTTAAGTCCAGCCTCGACTGTTGCCTCCGTCTTGGTGAAGCAAAAAAAATAGGAGAAAGCAGTGGACCTAGCCACTCTCATAAGCTGATAAACAGTGACTCCTCGAAAACATAGTCATGAACCAAAGAGAGTAATGTCGCGTGGATAGCGGTCCAATGGCATGGATGGAGAGCAGTGAGGCACCGGCGTCATCCCCATCTTGGGAGTCTCGACATGTCCAAAGCAGCAGCGCTTCATCCGTGTATTGACGTGCTTTCAGAAACATCGCTGGAGGGGCGTGAATACCTTGTAGCGAGGACAAAGCGAGCTTGATGGCCATCCATTGATAGTGCTGCAGCCTCTGGTGTTAATGCACATTTGGTGAGGAAGTGACAAAGTGAAGAAGTAAAGAAGTGAGAGACACCCAGCCAGCACCCTGACTAGCCGGAGATCAGCCGGGGATCAGCCGACGGTGGGCCGATGATGGACCGACGATAACGATAGGCTTGGCGCTAGCGATAACGATCGGCGCTAGCGTAGCCAAGACTCTGAGAGGCTGGTCGTGGCTTTCCCCCGCTCCTCTTTTCTGACAAAACACAAGGGCAGGAGGTTGAACCGTGATTCTACCGACACTCAACCGAATTATCGCCAGGCTTCTCGCCGACGAGCCGCGACTCGCCATGTCGTCCGCTTATCCAGACCCTACGTCGACGCCATCACTGGCCGGCGATGGCGTCACGTCTCAAGACACAGCCTCACACATCGACCACGGCCATGCGACCACGGCCGACCTGGGCGCTGACGC